GACAGCTGACCCCAATGATCCAAGGGATACCCCATACCACATGACGTCATGCCCAGTATATAAAGCTGGGGGAAGGAGGTGGGGGGATGTTTGGAGTGGTGGCGTTTGTCTTCCCAAGTAACCATTACATGTGATGGAGCCCTGCCTTCCTGGAGATGGCTGAACACCTGCCTGCTCATGGGAAGGGGTGACTGAATTCCTTGTTTTGCTTTGCTTCCATAGCTATGAAGTTCTTCAAACAGATGAAGAAACCCTAATGAAAACTTAAATGTGTCTTCAATGAAGATGTTAATTCACATCCTCACTGGGCTGATAGATCCCTAAGGGGAGCCTGAAAAGTTTGTAGAATGTGTTTTCTGATACTAGCAATTACTTTTGTATGGTAAGTAAGGGTGGTCAAGTTGCAGAATGATGAAGATGGGAGTGACGGAGAGCTGAGAAAAAAAATTTGCATATGATGGTATATGAATTGAGTGAATGCTCATCGTACAGTGGTTGAGAGCAAAACCCATAGGGGTCCTTGAGATCAGCCAGAGTCCCTGTGGCGCAGGGATTTTGATGGCAAGTTTGGCCACAAGCACCAGGCAACTGCCGTATCGCCATACGTCAGCATTCAGGAAAGTGCGGCGCATGCTGCTGTCCCACAGCTCGTGAGGACAAGCTGTAGGCTGTAATGGGGGCAGTGGAGGGTGTATATATATATTATATGGGTGCCCGGTGCTGTAGCGATGAAGCAGTATTGGGAATTTTTTAATTATGATCCCTCCTGTAGGCAGATCTGTGCTTTCTCCTGAGACAAACAGCTTTGTGGATTCTTCTGGTGATGTGTTCAGGAGCAGACAGGTAAGACAAGAAATGGCCCTTGGGGTGTATGCAAACTCCCCAAATACCACTTTTCTTGCAGAAGAGCAGAGACTGTGAGGTATACAAAAAGCTGTGACCTCAGTCAATGCAGTATGTGTAACTGGCATGATGAGCTCACTCAACAAATTCATGTGAGGAGCCCACAATCAGTTTTTAAATTCTTTGAAGAGTGAGATAAAGGCAAAATCCCTGCCTTCTCTTGCTTTTTATAGCACTTCTGCCCTTATTTTCCTTGTTTGCAGCCAGTCAGCAGGCAGGAGGGAGGGGCAAAGCCTGTTTAAAACGTTTTGCGAGGGGCTGCAGCCTCTCCTTGCCTGTGATGGCTGGGAGGGGACCGTGCATGGGCACCTACTTGGAGCTGCCCACCTGTGCGAGGATGCCCATCCTGCGACTGGCGACCTGGCAGGTACCTGTGGAAGCTGGGGACTCTCCTCACCCCCGTGCCTCTGGTCACGCAGGTGACACCAGGAAATTGCTGAGAATCACAGTAGGCTTTTTCAGCAATCTCCTCCTCAGGTCAGGAAAATGCAGCAAATCCTCTGTGCGACATTTGTTGCCTTTTGAAATATTTCAGGTAATGCAGGTATTTACACTTGTCTTTCAGGAAATTTTTTAAGTGAGCAGGTAGTGCTCACTTAGTGCAGGCAGTGAGCAGGTGGAGGGAGATTTTTCTTAGCTATGGAAAAAAATTACATATTACGAAAGTAAAAACTTCTGCCTAGCTTGTTTTTCTTTGGCGTTTTGTTTTGGTTTGGTTTTGCTTTTAGCACTGGGTATTAATATCCCAGCCTGTCATGTAGGTGTCATCTTTGATAAGTGCATGTAGATATAAGAACTTAAATGGCAATGAGTGGGTTTGGAAATGGGAATTCACATTAACACCTTTGAGACTGAGGATAACTTATTTGTATGGCAGCAGATGAGTATACAGCACTTTGCAGGAAAAGACTTTGCGTAGTTCTTTACCTGCAAATGTTATCTAATGGACTTTTGGTAAGAGAGAAGATTTAAAGATATACTGAATTATAAATGTAAAAGGAGTCTGGAAAAGAACGGAAAATTTTACGAAAGTGAGATTCTTAAGAAAGAAAAAAAAAATAGTGGACTGTCCCCTGGATTTGAGACTGGAAACTAAATATGTTGAATTGCAAGCTGCCAACTCTGTGAAACACTGTCCAGTCAGCACAGAAGTATCTTAAATTATTCTTGCTATATTTTTATGTCAGCTGCTGCTAATCATCACATAACTTCTGCACAAATGGGGTTGAGTTTGTTTAACCCTTTCAGTCTTCATTAGTCTGATGACAAAAGACACTAAGAAGCCTAAAGTAACTAAGTAGGCTTTAAAAAAACCAAGTGTGCCTTGCATGGGGCCTCTCAGGGAACTAATGCTGTGATGGATGAGCTCTCTGGAGGAACCTGTTAAGATGTTAACAGGAACTGGTTGGGACTAAACAGAAGGAAAATTTTGGACATATGATCCCTGCCACCACAAAAATCTCTTGTGTTAATGCAATGAAAACACGGCCCAAACCCACTGCGATTACTTCATCAAAGCCATTCGATCTCAAGGTTCCCACAGCAACTTCAGCTGCCACTCCTCACATTTCGGTGCGGCAACGGGGTCTCCTTTACCCAGTCACGCTGACTTGAAGTACTGTTCAGTGAGCACCATGTAAAATGAGGCAACGGATTATTTTTTTCTGAAAAACATCTCATGTTACAGAGTTTTGTGTAATCACAGGGTATATTGTCACCTTTGCTCTCCACCAGCTCCTCCTCCACCCAAAAGTGATGCCGACTGCTGCTGCACGGCAGCTCTCCCATGCCGCAGCACCACCCAGAGAAAAGGCACGCCGCACTGCCCGGCATTTGCCCGCTTTCCCACGCCGCCCTCGGAGCTGCGGTGGTCATACGTAGGAAGGGGTGGGATGGGGAAAGGGACTGCAAAAAGGAAAACTTGTAAAACTTAAACTGGTTCTTTGGTTACATGTAGTCTTGTGGAAAAAACCTCTGCAGTTTCTATATTTGTTTTTGTTTTTTGTTTTTTTGTTTTTTTTTTAATTTAGGTGAACCAACCAAGCACTCTTCGATGGGAAATACTTGGAGAAGTGAAATCATTTAAAAAAAAAAAAAAAAAAAAGATGGGTGGGGATGTAACGAAGTTAAATGTCGGAGGTGGTCACGATTTTGAATCACGTTTCTGTTTGAAGTGCCATTTTCCAGAATCGGTATCCAGTCATCGAACAACACTTCAGTGTCCCCAAGCCAAGAATCTGAAGTGATTTCCTTTGCTATTAAACACCAGGTTGTGTGTCTTACCCAGGAGGTGGCACTCTCTGTAGCGTTTTGCAGTCCTCTCACCTCCCTTGTCCTGTGTCAACAAAAGCCGGCTTGTTTGTGTGCAGGGCCAACAAGCTTTCCAGAGGCGATTCATTTCCTTATGTCGCCAGTACATCACACTGAAATTGCTTTTAATTTCTGGGCAAATTAGAACTTATTTAGAGATAGCCTGGTGTCCGAATGTGAACATTCAATACTTAGAAAAGGGCAGATCAGCTCAGGCAACTCATCCGTGACTCCCACGGCCATTTTATTCCAGAAAACGAGGGAAAGCAAGATCCAAACTGGAACACCTCATTATTTGGGTGCTTAAAGTCTCCAGATTTGGAGAACAGCAAACTTCTTTTTCCGCTATTTACCAAATTATGGACTTTTCTGATTTCAGTCTCTCCAAGGAACCGCAAGAGATGCAGTGAAGTTTGCCATCAGTGTTGGGTACCGCCACTTTGATTGTGCCTCCCTGTACCAGAACGAGAGTGAGATCGGGGATGCACTACGAGAAAAAATTGAGGAGAGGATTGTGAGGCGAGAAGAGCTCTTTATTGTCAGTAAGGTATGGCCTTGGATAACTTGCCTCACATGAGGCCAGCTCTAGGGAGGAGAGACAAGGTCCCAACCTGTGAAGTGCCAGGGGATGAAGATGGTCTGGGAATTAACTCCTTTCTGTCAGGATGAAGAGTTTTGTGGATGGAGGGAAGGAAGAGGTCAATTCTTGGGGCGGGGGGGAAGACTTGATTTGAGAGGGATTTTTTTGTAGTCCATATCCATTGTCAGCCATGGAGACAGGAACTGAGGCCGTGCTCTCAGTTGCCTCTGAGATAGGAAGCAAGGCTATTGTATTCGTGGTCACTCCCGCTGCGCTGCCGGCCTCAGCCTGTTAACTCCCGTATGTTATGTTGTGTTTTGTTTTTTCCCCCAACAACAATGGTAGGAAAAATAAAGTAACTTCTATCTGCTGGAAGCTGGCGGGTTGATTTTCACCAGTTTTGCTTTTTTTTCCCTTCTTTTTGTTTAATTGTTGTATGAATTGTTGGAATTTTAGAGTATCTCATTCTTATTTTGCTTAACTGACAGTACCACAAATAAAATGAGGAAGTGCCACTATTGTGCACCTTAAGACGAGAAGATGTGCCATACCATGAGCTGCCTCTGTGTCTGCACCGTGTGTTTCCCTGCCAGGGATGCTCTGCGGTCGTGAGGCCAGGAGAACAGCTCTCAGGCTTTGTGTTACCCCCACAGCTGTGGTCCACCTTCCATGAGAGATCCCTGGTCAAGGAGGCATGCCAGAAAACCCTTGCTGCCCTCCAACTGGATTATTTGGATCTCTACCTGATGCACTGGCCCATGGGATTCAAGGTATTGAGGCTTTAACTCCTGGGAGCCATCTGTCAGAGCTCTGCCACTTTTTCCTTTGGGACCAGGCATGCCCTTAGTCGTCTCTAATGAGGAGTGCTGTTAAACCTCCTTAGGACATAATGTCAAACCTCTGCATGGAGTGCCGAGAAGGAAAGGTAAGGTCATGGCTGCTTAAGCTAGGTCTTGTAGTACAAAAATCCCCTTATTTCACCCTGCACAGCATTTCCATGTCATGGATCAAATTACCATCCAGATCACATTCCTCTTAAAGCCTGGGGTTTGGCTTATCATTTGCTTATCTAGGATCAAACAGTTGTGAATTAGTTCCTATTCTTCTCTTCTCTCTCTGCCCCCAGGTTAAATAAATCCTCATTTCCCCATCATGTCACATCCCTGGCTTTCCCCTAACCTGACTGAGGCACACAAAAGTGTCTGTCCTTCCTCTGCCTGCAGGACACATTCTCAAGAGGCAGATTTTCTTGAAGATTATTCTGTTTGTACAGATTACTGTTTTTGACCACCTCTTTCCCCAACACAAACATAAGCCAGGATATCCATCGTGTCTCCAGCTCCACTCGTTTGTAGGATTTCTAACTGATTTCTTTAACTACTTATGATTCAGCCTACCTTAAACGTACCTTCTCTCTTAGATGTAGATTGGAGCTAATACACTAAACCAGTGTTAGGATGGGGCTAAACCCACACAGAGAAAAACTAATGTAACCAGAAAAATATTTACTAATTCATTGAAAATGACACACACAGAGAAACCTCTCTCACACTTACTGTGATATTCAGTCCAAGAATTCATAACTCTGCTGTTAATAGAGTTTCATATTTACGAGAGAAAGGATCGATTGGTGAAAGTAGTGAAGACAATTCTTAATTGAGCTTGAGTGAACTTATAAAGCATGTAAGAGAACTTCTGAACTAAAAAAAAAAAAAACAAACCAAAAACCAAAGCAGTACATGCTTATGAAAATAGCACCTTTGCAGTCCTGCTGAGACAAATGGATTAGGTTTTTAAATGGATGACTTGAAGGAATTTTACTTTTACTCCAGTCTTCATGGCTTTCTCTGACCTGGGACAGGGCTTTTACCAGAGCGGCTGTGCTTGTGAAGGACACGACAGCTGCCCATTCTGAAGACAAAATTTTCGGGATCTGGACCAAAGAAATTCCTGGCCTGATCCCAGGCTGGACTGAAATGTGTTACAGTCAACTGTTATGCTAGAAACCACAGGCCTCTTCTCAGGTGCCAACTTGCGATAAACGGAAAAGAATGAAGGCAGGGGCTGGGGCAACAAGATGGTGAATTAAAGTGTGCAAGATGATGCTTTCTTGTCATTTAAATAACATTCTTACACCACAGTGCTTGATGGAGAAGACAGTGGACCATTCAGCTGGTGAAGTCTGCTTTTTATTTTCACAGGTCCAAGCCTGAGGATATTCCCCTTTTTGATGATCCCCAAATTAAGGAAATTGCACTCAAGTAAAACAAAACCCCAGCTCAGGTTAATACTGGTCATAGTATTTTCGCTGATGACATGTATTCTTCCCATTTGTGCTAAATTAAATATTTACAGAGGTATTATGGAAAGTTGAAATCCAGCTGTGTCATACACTTTAAAAAATATTATCTCTAATGCTAGTTTTAATGACAGACAGAAGAGTACCAATGGCTTTGGGCTTTAATTGGCACACTAGCCACTTCTACAGACAGCATCCCTGCCCAATCTTGAAGTCTTGTTCAATGCACTCCTGTGCTTGTCATCTCAACTTCAGAGAGCTAATGATTACGTGAGCTCATGTAGTAATCAGGAAAGGTTTACTATAGTACTTTTCCTATGTGAGCCATCTCTTGATTATCAGTAGAGCTGTTCCATGTAACCATGTAGGCATGTGTGGTTTTTGGCTTTCAGAAGACAGGCAGAACTTGTCAGCTGTAATTTCCTTCTTCCTTCATGTGCTTATCCGGCTCCAGATTCAAAGAACTGTGAGTGTAATTCCCAAATCTGTCACCCCACACCGTATTGAGGAAAATTTTAAGGTAAGAGGGTACCTTATAAAATTAGTAATGGTGTTAAACTTTACATAGAAAAATCCACTCTGCCAGTGGATCAAAGTACCCCCTTCATACTTCCAACTGGCAAAACCTTTTATCTGTCAGATACCACATAGGTTACTTTTTATGAATGCAAAAAGTTACTTTAAAAGTAAGGAGCCAAGTGTCCTTCATTAGAACACATCAAGTAAGAGAGATTAACTTTTTCACTTTGTGATGATACAAATATGATGCAACTAGACCCCAGCAGCACTGTAACTTTATGACATTTATTCATTGTTCACCACAATGTGCGTCTATTGCACACTTCCTAGTGCTTCAACAAATGCAGTGCTTTTCTACTTCTGTCTTTGGTATTCTTTCTGCAAATGAACTTGCACTTGTCTTTTCGCAAACTGAAGTAACCCAGCTGTTTGGGACCTTCATTCAGGTGTTTGATTTTGAATTGGCTAAAGAGGAGATGGAAACCTTCCTTGCTTTCAAGAAGCAGTATCGCATCTGTGCATTAAGCAAGTGAGTACCTCCTCCTCCTCCATGTTTTTGCAAGACTGGAATATCATTGGATATCCTCTTAACAGACAGTATTTGATAGCCCCACTTAAAAATAAAGAGAGGGAACCTTAGCCACAACCTGGTCACATCTGTATCTGCCAGAATCCAGCCCTAGGGTTTATTAGAGCATTGCCCGTCTTGTACAGGTTGGTACCACTGGGATTTTTGCAGCTACGTTATGTGTTAAGATATCTCGTAACGGATGCATACCAAACTGCTGTCTGAAAATCAAAATCAGCTGGAAACTCCAAAATAAATAGGCGGCAATTTTTTTTCTGTTTTCTTTGGCTACTTTTATATAAGAGACAGTCAGTGTAAATAAACTCCATTTTAAGAATGAGAGTTGTAAGTTCTTTTTGAAGTGAAAAGCTGTGCCTATGTATTTATACCAATGTTATTAAGGCAGCATCTAAATAACAGAATGGTTAGATACAGACTTACCGAGATCTGCAGTTTATTCTGTTTTCCCAGGTTCCCCTTATCTAATAGCATACTGCGGACTTAGGAGTTCACAAGAGAGCAGTTTAATATCACAGGGGAGATTGGTGATTTCAGCTAAGCAAAACATTTATTATCTTTTGAGAACAAGGTCACTGGTATATGTGAAGGTAACAGAGCATTAGCTTCCACTGCCCTCTGTAAGCAGACTCACATTAGTATTTTTACTGCAGTTCACAGTCTTAGTTCTGCAGAGCTTTTGTCAGGGGGAAAAAAGCTTTTTCTTCTTAGCCTTAAGACTATATCCTTAAAGTGTTTTAATCAGACTCCCTCTAGATGTAAAAAATCACAAGGACTATCCTTTTTTTGAAGACTAACATAGGCATCATCTTCAGATCCTCCAGGAATCAGGACCATGTATCATTTTTTCAAGCAATTTATAATACTTCATGTGCATTAAATCACAATATAAGTGGAATATGTATTACAAGATGGGAGAAGGTAGCTCACAGCCATTCTGAAGAGTAATCTTTGAGCGTGCATGCTTTTGCTTCCCTTATTATCAGCCACAGTTACATCAGTCCTTTATCTGTATCTTTGCTCTGCTCTTGTGGCAGCAAAAGACATTTTCTCTTATCATTTAGTAACAATAGTTAAAGAAGTTTAATAAACATGAATCTTTGAGGTTTATGAAAAGCAGTCTTTGTCATAAATATAAATCCTGGCAAATTTTAGAAAACTTTAGGTTCTCCTAGTGGTTGCATTTTTGGACAAAAGGTCAAAACATATGCTATCTTTTAATTGTTAATATAAGACAATCCATTTAACATCAGAAGATCTTTATGAGATAAGACAACGTGCTGCTTGAGCTTAGTTCAGCAATTTCAGCATAACAGACCGAAAGCTCTTTAGAGGACACTGCTGAACTATGTTTCAGGAGCCGTTTTCTTAATGAGGTTTCCTATTTATGAACTGCTAAAAACTAATAAACTGGTAGGAGATTTGTATGTTTGGTTTATCATATCTACAAGACTATATAAATACTGCCTTTATCAGTAGAACGGCTGCAGTTAAGACTGTGAATCTCTCCCAGCAAATCCAAAGTCTGATAAAGGAGACAAGGAGGAATTATTTTGTTTGGCAACTGTCTCATCTAACAAGCAGAAAAGTTGGGCAGCTTCATAGAAGTCAACAGTAGATTTTCACTCTCTTGTACTGCTCCCTAGATCGTGTCTCCTTGGGTTTGGATTCAAAGGATGTCACTAGATGTTGTTTTCTCTGGTAAAAAAAGTCAGCGCTACTGCAGCCCATGCATCTGCTGGAGTTTTAATGAGGTGTCTGTTAATCAAGACTTCTTGCTCTTGAACTCCAATACATTGCTCAAAACTCCTGTAATTGCTTTAGGCTCTTCCAGCCCAGTAGAAGAACAATGTGGATCAGCACTGCCTGCAGAGAGGAAGGACAATTGTGTAATTAAGGTTCAGGGCTAGGATACACACTTCATGGATATCCTTTTCCAACTGATTTTCTTTGTAGTTAAGGTTTTTAAGTCTATAAAGGAAATGATGAAATATCTTTGAGCTTCTTTAGACTTTTGCAAGATGTTTGAATAACAGGTGCCCTAGAAAATGCAAAGCAATTCCATCAAATTGGATTTCCTACAGCAACTCTTCTAAAGAAAGAGGTCTGAAAAGCATATCAGCAATTGACACCAAACAGTTATAGTGCAGTGGTATGGACAGGAAGGTGCCTGTAATAGGGACTTTCTTTTTTTCTCCCCCTAAACACACTAAATTGAAAAGGTCAGTTACAATTCATAGTCACAGTTAGAAAATGAGTTATGTGGAAGGTGCTCTGCTTCCACACGTGCAGACTGTGCTCAGGTTGAATTCTACAGCAGCAGGAGCAATACCCGCTTCAGGCTGTGGTGTACAGCCTATCCTGAAATAGTCTCTACTTCATGGGAATTTTCTAACAACATTCCAATTTAATCACAGCTATCAGACTTGAAGTTATTTACAGGATGTTTATAGACTGCAGCAGGCAGGAAGTCAGACTAGATGATCACAGTAGCCATATAATAGTAAAAAATTCAAAACAAGTTAGAAGCCAGAGATCAGGCATTTGTTTTGGAGACAATAGATCTTTTTCAGCTGCAGAGACTTTAGGAAAGGTAAAAGGAGAAAAACTTGGCTGATGTCAGTTACTGGGAAATGAAGAACCTTTTCTTTTGCAGCAGAGCTGCAGCCATATGACTTGAAGACAGTGTGCCTTTCTAGTACCTTTTGCTGCCTCACAGCAGCCTATGATAGTAGTAAGCCTGCTGCTATAACCAGCTGGAGAAGCACGCTTCCTAGCTTCACCTACCCCAACACACATGCCAAAAGGGCACTGCTCTCATTGCATCTGCTAGCTGTAGAGAAGACACTATGAAGCATGATTTTCCTTGTGTTTGGTTTTGAAGATTCAAAAAAAAAATAATCTCCCAGCCTTTCCTATGCTTTTTACAAGTTCAGACTTTGCTTTACATAGAACCTACTTGTCAAGAAAATAAAAATTGCCATGACTGGCTAGGGTAGAGACTTAGGCTTGTTTTACTGCTATTGTAAATTCAGTTGACTGAAGAACAGCAAGTGTTTTGTTGGTCAGGTTACTGCAGCAGAAGAGAGAAAGGGACAAGCTACAACTGTCTTTTTTTAAAAGAGTTTTATTTGTTCTGCCAGTGTAGTGACCTGCCACACACTGACAAGTGCTAGAAACATTCTAGCCTTCATCTTCAGACTCATCTGAGGTCTGTGTTAATAAGCAAGTGTATACCGATGGCCGTTTAACCCACTCCTTTTTCTGTGGCTGTAACAAATTCAACTGCACGCCACTACCCAGGTAGCTTTGTAGTCCATACAGTGACAGTCTGTCTCCACCTGCTTTTCAGTGGCCCATGGAGCATTTGTTAGTTACTAATGCCCAGGCTGGATCAATGTCTAACATGAGGAGCAGATGTGCACAAGGCCACAAGTCTAGCACTTCATAGACCTGAAAATACCAAGGCCATCTCTTGATGCCAGGAGAGAACATGCCACACTCCAAACAAAGTGCTTCAGGAAAAAGAACACTAGTATTCTTCCAGTGTCAGATGCAGCATAAACAAGCTGAAGTCACCATGACCAGCTCTAAGGAATAGCACAAGTTTTGTGAAGGACTAGCAGCTTCTATTCCTGTGTGCCTACTTCCCCAGCAGCACAATCACCTTTGTTGGAACTACAGAAAGTTCTGAAATAATTTTCAGTTTCTATCAGCTATGTAACAGTGCTCACTCTTAAACCAAACCAGCAGATACATCTTTCCTAGTCAGCAGTGAGATACATGCCACTGGACTGAACCCAGTAAATGGAAAACACCTTAGCTTAGCATTTTGCCTTTGTATCACAACATATTGTCCCATGACTTGAGCTTTTATTGTGCAGTTCATCCACTGTGGTATAGTCAAGCCTTCATTAAAAGTTCCAAAGGGGCTAGGAGAAAAAAGTAAAATGTTATGTCCACGTTTTAGAGGGAAAACATGGTAACACAGGTAATGAACAACAGGTAAAATTCAAACTTGTTTGCTGATCATTGCTGTTCAGGTTTTCCATCTATTATAATTCCAAGCTGTCTCATATTGAGCTCAGTATCCCTCAAAAGCAAATGGAATGAGAAACAAAAGAAACAGTAAGATAGAGACCCATTCCATGAACTGTTTCTATTCAATCCTGCACAAGAAGTTCTGGTCCTTGCCTTCCTCTGCATCTTAAAAAGAGATTTACAGAAGACTGACTAGGACAATCAATGGCCTAGGAATAATTTAGACAGATGGCAATTAAGTAGACTAAGACTTTCCTTGACCTGACACCAGTGCAGGGAGCTATGCCAGAAGTTTACCAAATCTGGAGCAGCTTGGAAAGTGTGACTGGAAATAGATCAGTTGCTATTTCCTCCACTGTAAAAACCAGCAGCATCATATGAATCTAGCAGCAGACAAGCCCAAAACAAGTAAGAAATGGCAATTCTTCACAAGATGCACGGGTGTGAAAAATCATTCTTTTTGAAGGTAACAGATTCCAAGGTAACTGAACAAGAGAGTTAAGTGATGGCTATTAAACACAAAAGATCTTAAACTGCTGTCAGAATATTTAAAGAACACACCACTGCAATGGTGAACCCACTCATCTTCAACAACTTGTTCTGGCCACAGCTGGAGAGAGGATGCTGCAGTAGGTAGCTGCTCATGGGAACAGTTGAACTGAATCAGACTTAATAGCTATCAGCTAGCTTATAATCAGGCTTATTTCAGTTCAGAAAAGCTAGACTGTGTTGTCAGCTTTTATTTTTGTTTAAGAATTTGGAAAACAGATGTAGTTTTGCAGATGTTTGTACTAGTGGTCCTGTAGCATGCACTTTAAATTAAAATGCAAGAGTAACATGACCTATGAAAGAGTTTTAAGAGTTGTCTCAGCTTAAGAGAGCAAGGTCCTGCCAGAATAAGG